GGATAATGGTAGGAGCAGCCGTGTGCAGCTTCAAGTGGGGTAGAGCAGCATGGACGCTGTGGCCACAGTGTTGTCTGTAGGCAAAGCACATCACCTCATGATCCCACTTGATAATTTACATTTTTCATTAAATATACAGTCTTTGAAAAACAAGTTCTGATGTTTGGTCTTTGTGTCCAGTTGATGCAAACAGGTCCCAGTCATGTTTCAGACACATCCAGTCCCTCTGGCATGTTGTTGCTGTGATAAGCAATCATCAGTTCACTGTCTGAGCTGCTGATTCCCTGTAATGATGACTGACATGCGCAGGAAGCAACCTGGATATTTCCCATAGAGAGTGATTATCCAACTGTAGAAAGAGACAGAACTTAATTTCCAATAAGCCAGTGTGATGCAGTGCTGTCACATGTCAGTTCATGGAGGAATGTTAATAAGTGGAGAGGTCTATTTTTAGCCTGTCACTGACTCAACCTTGCATCTTATTCTGTGAACTGCATGTGAATCCAGAAAAATCTGCCAAAATACCAAATACATGTATGAATGTGTCCTCGGACCCGAATGATCTCAGTGTGCACCCAGTTCATGAAAGCCTTTGGATCGTGCATGACACACAGCAGCACATGTAGCCCGTGTAGCATAAATATACATCTCAGCACCGCCTTTGAGTTGTATACGTAAGAGAGTAATGAGAAGATGAAAAGAAGACGATGGATGAATCTGACGTGTGTGTAAATCACATTAGCAGTGAGCCAAAGGATGCTGTCCATATGCATGACTGCTTTGTTCAGTGGTGGTTATTTATAGCAGCTCTTAGAGTTAATAATTCACCTGCCTGGCCTGTAAACCATCATCGGCAGTAATATCTTATCATCGCCATGAATCTTCACAAAGCCAGTAAAGAAGGGTTTGCAGTTATATACAAACTGTTTCTCTATCAAAGGTAGAGGAGGAATTCATTAGAACGAGGCGCAGGAACTCAGCATGCACCAATCAGAAGGTCAGTAGTTTGATTCCCAAAGTCCCAAAGCTGATCCCACAGTGTGAGTGCACTCCATGAAATCTGTGTGAAGCTGTGAATGTTGCTCTCAGCCAGTTAGAGCGCCACGTGGACCAGTTAGACCAGTTAGACCAGTTAGAGCGCCACGTGGACCAGTTAGACCAGTTAGAGCGCCACGTGGACCAGTTAGACCAGTTAGACCAGTTAGAGCGCCACGTGGACCAGTTAGACCAGTTAGACCAGTAACTGGTCCACGTGGACCAGTTAGAGCGCCACGTGGACCAGTTAGACCAGTTAGACCAGTTAGAGCGCCACGTGGACCAGTTAGACCAGTAACTATTCCACGTGGACCAGTTAGAGCGCCACGTGGACCAGTTAGAGCGCCACGTGGACCAGTTAGAGCGCCACGTGGACGAGTTAGACCAGTTAGAGCGCCACGTGGACGAGTTAGACCAGTTAGAGCGCCACGTGGACCAGTTAGACCAGTTAGTAGACCAGTTAGAGCGCCACGTAGACCAGTTAGAGCGCCAC